ATTTGTTGCAAGATCCCTCTTGTCAATGTCTTGGGTCTTGCCTCTCTATTTTTAAAAATTCCTTAAGACTTTTGGAACCACTTTTAAGACTTATGTATTTAAATATGTACCATAACAGATTTCTATAGCACATTATAATTTATAGTGTACCTTCATATACATTATCTTGCTTATTTTTTCACAGCAACCTTATGTGTTAGGTAAGGCAAGTATTAAAAAATCTTCACATCATAGGTGAACAATCTGAGCTTCAAAGTAGCTGGATTATTACCTAAGCTCATGCAACTATTTTGTAGTAGGGCTTAAATTTGAGTTTAGGTATTCTGCTTCTGGAACCAGGATTATATATCATGCTGTCTTGTGTAGTATTTATGTATTCATAATGCTTTATCTGTGTTGTTTTGAGATGGCCACCCTTCCTTGTCTTTCTACCCAAAGTAAAACTAAAGAAAACTGATTTTCATGGAGAACTTGTTAAAACTTTGCTGTCCAGATCTATAACACATATTAAGCTTTACACATATGCAAACTTTCTGAATATAAATGAAAATTTCTTGATCTATTGTATCTTTTACAATACAGTGTTCTTTTTCTCATATATATATGTCTCATATATATATTTTTTGGGGGGAGGGAGTGTTTTAAATATATTTTGTCATTAAAATTACTGCCTCAGCTTTCTCTTGGTTCATGTTTGCCTGGTTATGTCTTTTACTATCTCTTTTTTGGAAAGCTTTCTGAATCCTTTTGTTTTATGTGTCTCTGGTAAATGACACATTGCTGGATTTTGTTTCTTACTCAATCTGAGAATCTTCTCCGGGATTTTAATTCTGGATCATTATGGGTGAACTTTTTTTGGTTTCCTTTATAGTCATTGATTTCTTAGATTACAATAATTACTATGTTTCATGCCAATCTTTACTTGCTTTATCATGTTGCTTCTTCCTGAATTCATTTCTCTTCTTAGTGTGTTACATTCCTCAGAACTTCTGTCAAATAATATCTTTGTAGGGTGAATTTCCTGACACCTGTATGTAAATTCTAGGTTCACAGTCCTTTTCCTTTAACACTTCATCTTGGAAGTTAATACTCCATTGTCCAGCATTAGTGTTGAGAAGTCTGATGTCAGTGTTATTCTTCCTTGATGGAAGGGTATGCTTTTTCTTTCTGGAAGCTTTTAGATGTTTTGCTTGATCTATAATAGTCTTAATTATCCTTATATTATGCATTGCTATGGATTTTTCCTTAACTATCCTGTTCACTGCTCTATGTACCCTTTCAATCTAAAATTTGAATATTTCTATATCTGGGAAATTTTTATCATTATTTCTTCAAATATTTCTTCTATTTTGTCTTTGCTTTCCTTCTAGGATTCTCATTGTTGATGGGAATATAGATGTTCATACTTCTTCTCCTGTTCTTAATTTTATCTCTTGTTTGTTCTGTCTTTTCATCCTTTCCTGTGCCTTTTGGGGGAGATCTTCTACCCAGTGTTCCAGCTCAGTAATTCATTCTCAGTCTGTAGCTATTGGGCTTTCAGTCCATGCTCTGAGTAAAGAGAGTGGTAAAAGTCTAGGCTCTGGCTTGTACTCCTCCAAGTTCATTTAAAACTAGAGTGCAAAACGTCTAGTGTTCTACTCTGGCCTCAATCAGCCACTTTTTCCCTTGTGTCCTCCTACTCCTTCAAGAACAATACAAAAGAAAGCAAAACAACCACCCACCACACACATAGACACAACTCCTAACACTACTGTCCCAAACAACTCCTCACTGTTGCAGTTGCCTTGCTCTTTGTGGATGTGGAGATAGAGTGGGGCTGGATGGCACCACTCAGAGACCTGAGCTGTTTGCTACTGACTCTCCATCCAAGCTTGTCCAATTGATGTTTAGATGTCAGACTGTTATTAGTTGAATATATACTCCTGTTCAGGCACTATATTGGGTTCTGGGATATGAAAATTAAAGAGATGTAATCCATGTCCTCAAGTAGTTTTCATTTTAGTGCTGTCAGTGGGAAAGTAAATAGGTATTTATAATAAACTGTGTTCAATTCTGTGATGGGAACATATGGGAAGAGTTCATTACTTCATTTCTGCGGAAGGGAGAAGGTTTCCCCAGTGAAGGTATAGTTTAGGTTGAGGCCTGAAGGATGTTGGTTTTTTAGCTGGATGGGGAAGATTAGAGGAAGCTGGGAGAAAAGGAGCATTTCAGGCAGAGAAAGTAAGTGGTTCAGTGGTGAGTGAAGCCAGGTTAGTAGTTTGTAGTGGCTGTTGCTGTCACTTTCCATGTGATGTAGCTTTGGCAAGATAACAGAGGGAATGATTAAACTGGAGTGTAGTAGGATATTGTAGATTTTAAGAAGGGAATTGACATGATCAAGCTTACATTTTAGAAAGAACTTGCTGTATTATGGAGAATGAGTTGACATGGGGCAAGGCAGGAGCCATTGAGACCTGTTAAGAGGCTTTGCAGTAATCTGGGAGAGAAAAGATGATGGCCTAAGATAAGGTAGTAGCTGTGAAGATAGAAAGAAGTGGTTAAATCTAAATGATAATTAAGGATATTGGATAGCCAAGACCCGTGGTTGATTACATTTGTTTACATTTGGTATTGAAGGGAAAGTGCGTGTGTCAAGGATGATGTCTAGTTTTCTTTCAGGCATGGCATTCAAAACGCATATTTCCTAAATATCATTTACTTTAAAGAATCAGTTGGAAACATAACAAAACGAAAACCTAGCCAACCTTTTCTTTTTTTTTTAAAGAACCATTTCTTATCCTTGATTCCAAAATGCAACTAGCTCAGAAAATTGGGAGATTTTACCTAAGTTTGTGGCAAACTCAGTTAACAGTAAAACCTACCCTGAAATGAAGTTCTTTATAGTTTTTGTTTATCCTGCTTTGTGTGGACATTCATATGTTTCTTTCAGAATTATTAATGTGTATGATAATGAGATGCTGCTTCAAGCCTTGCTGTCAGTGTCGTATGACATACAGTATATGTACCTTATTACCTTTCGAAAATCCGAAATGTTATGATAAAGCATGTCTAGCCCCCGTAGTTTCAGGTAATAAATTATAGGCTTGAACTTTGAACCTGAGCATTTTTGTTCTTTTACACTGCAATAGTATTTTCTAATAAGAACCATTAAGTGACAATGTGGCTGTAGGAGTAAAATGAAGTAGATGTGTATTATATAGTACAAACTCCAAGATAGATTGCCAAGTGGAGGTACAAAACAGTGTGTATAGTACGCTTCTGTTCAGGTTAAAAGAAAAACAGAAGAGGAGAAAGACACACACAGAATATCTTATAGAAGGACAAACAGTGCTAATGTCAGGGACTGAGAACTGGGAGTCAGTGATGGGAGGAAGCCTTGATTTTATTGTAGTGTCTGCACACGCACACACACACATTGCACTGTCAGATGTTTCACTATACGCCTTATTCTTTTTGTTTAAATTTTGTTACACAAATGACTATATGACAATGTCCTTGTGAAAACTTAAAGATCCATTTGAATTCCAGCTCCATTAATTTTGTACTAATAAAGTTAAAAATAATTATTTATGTAGCTATTAGCCTTCTCTAACACCTTGTTGCAATTTATTCCTATTATTTGTCATTAGGACTGCATCCAAAGAATGAGTTTCAGAAATCCTAAAATTTTGTAAACATTGAATTGTATTCATTGAATTGTAAACATTGAATAGTATTGCTAAGATTGCTAGAAGCAGAAAGTAGAGACGAGAACAGCTAAAGACGAGTGCTAATCAGTTGACGCCGGAATGTATTCCCAGTGTGCCAGACTGGGCAGTGAGAGCAAAGGTTGGAAGTCACAGGTATAGTTTTCCAGCAGCAGATCCGAAGGGAAAACGATAGGGACATTTGGAAACATTGAATAGCAAGACAAAGGAAATAGAGATAAGTATTTTTTTGACAGAGAAAATAGGTGACAGAAATAAAGAGAAAAACAATTAAGTTGGGGTCTCTTCAGAGAAAGAAAGAGGTGTGGAGAAAAGATAAAACATCATGAATGCACTACTCTTGTTGGTTGTTGGATGTTTCATAATTATTTTTTGCAATGTGGTAGAAGTAGAATTTCATGTTAAAAAAATAAGGCTTGGTATTTATGATGAAATTAAAATACTACTTGGTCAGTGGGAAAAGTAAAGTCCATTTGTCACTAATAAATTAGTACACACTGAAATCAGGAAAGAAAAACTCCAACTATTTGCCAATTTCACTAAATGTATATTTAAATTATCTTTGCTACTTGCACAGTTATTTGTATTTTTTGTTCCATCAGCAGTCTTAGTTACAGTGAAAAGCAAGAAATTAAATACTTAAAACATATCATGATATTTGATATTTGTGTTTTCTGTGGTGATATTTTGCTTTTTTAGTATTATAACAGTCCTAAGTCCTGATTTGTAGTATGCACTAAGTTAATAAAATTAAAGTCAGGAAAAAATTTAAGATTTAGTTATTTAGCTGCGTACTCACAAACATATTCTTTGTGTGCATATACTTTCCATAAAAATGCAAGCATTGATGGATGGATATTTGATAAAGCAAATATAGTAAAATGTCAACTGTAGAATCTACATGGTGGAAAGAATCTGTATGTTTGACCATTTTCAGAATAAATGTTGGAAAAAACATAAACTCTAATGAAAAAGCTAATGTGAAACAAACAGATATTGTGTGAATAGTAAAATAATAACTTGACTTCTTTTTGTTCTTCACTGACTTGGAAAAATGTGAAACATTTTTTCTGTTAATGGAATACCAATTTTAGTGGTGATACTATTAGATATAAATAAATAATCTGTTACCTTTCGATGGCAATTTTTTGTCCTTAAAAACAGTATTATTATGAACATTAGTAGAGATATTTGAAAAAATTAGAAAGGTTTATAAAACATTGTTGAGATAAACATAAATTATAGCAGACAAGGGTTTAGCAACTATTTAGAACTTTTATTCTTCCATTTTAGGGAATCTGGAAACATCAAAGCTGGATTAGAACATCTGGTAAGTTCTAATTTTCTCTTGAACATTTGCATCATCTTTGATATCTGCATTCTAAATGAACACTTTTGAATGAGCTTTGAATACCTTGTATTGAGAAAGTCAACCATTTCCCAGAGGGTCAGCTTACTGTTATTATGTGAAAGCACTTACATTTTCATTTATCTTATCATTTCAAGGGAATTTAAAATTTTTTTAAATTACTTGTTTTTTTGTTTTTTTTGATGTAGAGATGAAATAAAATGGATGACAATCCTTGGATTGATGATTGCTTTAATTATAAACAAAAATGTTTGCTGTAGAATTTTTGGCATATCTTGATCTGACAAAAACAAGCTTGTGTTTTAAGAAAAACACAAATATTGCACGCATAAATGTGGTATGTTTTAGCAATTTAACGGCTTTGAAAGAAGTGCACGGCTTTGTTTTTCCTGCTGTCTTTGCTTTGTGAATAATGCATTGGTTTAAACTACATTCGGTTTTAGAATGTAAAATAATAGAGATGCAAAATTTTGGGTTTAAGTAAACATTTTTAAAGCACAAGTGAAATTCAAACTGATTTAACATTAAAATCTGTCCATTGATCAAAGAATTGGAAAAACTGTTGTATTATACCAAGTCCAAAATTCATTGAGCTCACCACATTGAGTGTCCTTTACATTAATTAGTTCATTTAAACAGAGCATCGTAAAGTTGTGCTCTGGTTTTTGGTCAAATCCAAATGTTGAATAATTAATGATAGAGTTTCTTTTGTAAATACAATCTAAGTACTTTTTTAATGCAAGACTTCCTTCATATATCATATGGTAGCTTTGTTAACTATCAGTGTTTGTGTTTTGCTCACACAAAAGCAAACAGTAGCAAGAGGCAGCTTCATTTTGACTTACAGTAGTTTTAGAGTTGGAAAGGACTTTTGGTTTTCCTTTCAATAGCTAAAGGAAACTGAGGAAACCTAGACTTTTAAAAAATGGTCCTAGGGACCGGCCCTGTGGCGCAGTAGTTAAGTGCGCACGCTCAGCTGCGGCGACCTGGGGTTTGGATCTCAGGCGTGCACAATGCACCGCTTGTCAAGCCATGCTGTGGCGGCATCTCATATAAAGTAGAGGAGGATGGGCATGGATGTTAGCCCAGGGCCAGTCTTCCTCATCAAAAAGAGGAGGATTGGCAGATGTTAGCTCAGGGCTGATCTTCCTCACAAAAGAAAAAAAAAAGGTCCTAAAAGTTACAGATTAATTATTAACACACTGGATATAATAGCCAAGTTAGAAAATTTGAACTATGTTTGTCCAAATTAGAAGTAAATAAATAACATTGTTATTCTCATTGTTAAAAATTATTTCCTGAATCCTTGTTTATTATAACAGTGTTAGGTTCACATATATTTAGGACATATGGACATCAGAATAAAAATGTTAACCTAAGACATCAAGTTCCAGTATCAACTCGGGGCTGATAACAAGGAAGAGCAGCTGCTACAGTGCCCAGACGAGCTGTCTTGAATACTTCTTTTGTGAATTATTATTTGTTAAAAAGCTTTATATTTACTGGGTTCATGTTCCTCAGTGAATAATAATGAGTTAGATTTTTTTGTTTAGATTTCATATTTTTCACACTGACTAATCTGCACTCATTTTCAGTGACTATTTCATGTATTTATACTCCACTTATGACCTTATCCAGCAGTGGCTTTCTAACTGTGCCTTGGGCTGCCAGGAAGGTTCCCCCAAAGCAGTGGTACTCCAGACTTCCTCTGCCCACTTTAACTGGAGTAGTTCCACTTTTAGTTATTTTATAAATTTTTAAACTTTTAGAATAAGATTTTATCTAAAGAAAGAATTCTCCAACTAAAAATATTTTAAAAACCTTTGATGAAACATAGCCACTTATTAAAGTCAGGAGCAATTGTTTCTTAATTACTCTTTTCTCTTCTTGACCCTAAGTTATATTTCATTTTTGTCTAGGTCATATACATCAAATGTATTTCAAAGATAATGCATTTTAGGGATGAGAGAACCAGGATCAGTACAACAGGTAGTGGGAAGTAGATGATTTTAATGCATTTTATCTAAGTTGTTCAAAAGACTCTCTATATTGTAAAATTGACATACTGAGTGTGAATTATTAACAATAATATGAATATATGAATATATAACATAATATCACATTATATGCAGGTATATTGCTTTCGTGCACTAATATTCAGTAAAGTCAGTGATATTCTTCATAACTGCCTAAGAAGGAAGTGAACTCAAGAATTTATTGGTTGAGCATAATGAAACCTGTCTGTCTAGTATTTGTGTGCTGCTTAGGTTTTTGTATCTCCACTTTCCAGCTGAGCAGATTCTTGTAGCCCTTACCTTCTCACATATGTAGCCCTTCTTTGAGTTGGCTGTATAGCCAAATACAATGAGAAGTATAGCTTCTAATAGATTGATTTTATAAATATATGGTATAAAATTAAAATAAGAGCATCCCACACATTTGGAATTAATTTCTTCTTTATGTAGCCATTTTCAGTCTTTATGTTTTCAAATTTATTTGGATTATCATAGAGAATTAGCATTGTTCTGAGAGAGGGTAAAAGCCAGTATAAATTTAAATAAATTAAGAAAAATGACGTATACAACATGCTATGCTTACCACAAGGACACATATATGATTGCACTGTCTTTGTATTCTATGTTTATGGGCTCTTTTTGGTATACAGTTATCTATAACCCTAGAAAGGAGAAAGCAGGTGTGGGTGTACAGAGAAAAGAGTGACATGGGTGGACTGTGTTCCCCTGGAATCTCTTCAGGGCTGATTTCATTTATTTGTCACAATCTCGCAGGCCCTTGATTCAGCCTTTGTTCTATTATTCCTTTCTTTCTATGTTGCCAACTTTTCCTGGGAACTGTCCAGCATGTTATTCTTAGCTTAAATTTCTTATAATATACTGCCCAATACCATTTTATTTTTCTTTTCACAAACTTGTCTGCTACCCCTGTGGCGTATGTCTGTGTAAAGTTCTAGACAGGGCCTTTGAAGGTTGGTGCCCATCATCCATTGATGATTCTCGCCAGATGATTGCAAAATGCAGATTTTCCAACTCCACCCCCCCCCCCCGCCCGTAGTTAGCAGCCAGCGTTCTACTGTAAGGAAGAGCCCACCCTTCTTTCTTATTTTATTTGTCTATTTATTGTGCGCAAGGACTCATGGATTTTTATTTTATTAAATAGATTATTATCAGTTATTTTCCTTATTTATTTTGGTGCTTAAGTTGTCCCAGATTTGTCCAGGAAGTATCCTTTCAAGGTGGCCTCTGGGTTCTTTCAACATACCCCGTCTTTTTTAAGCACTTCCTTATTTTCTGGCACAAGAAGATGTTCCAGGCTTATCTTATACCTTCCCTGTCTTGTTCCTGCAATCAGCCATTTCTTCAAATTACCCTGTTTCATTTTGGAAGAAAATGGCATTTAGAAATCAAGATCTGGATGTGTGATGTGCTCATTGTCTCTGGGATTTCATTACTTCTAGGACCTCTCTGTTCTAGATTAGATAGAGAAGTAGGTAGGTAGGTAGGTATTTTTTAAAAATTATGAGTCATACTAATACTTCCAATTTCAATCCAAACCACAGAATTCTTTCTTGTCCTCCCCCATTTCATATTTGTATTTCCCTTCATTCAAAGTGACAACCCTGACTTCTAACGACACCAATACATTTACCAACTTGCTCAATCATATAATACACATAAAATAGTTTCAAAATTGCTACAACCATACTTTGTGAAAAATAAACTTAATAAAAAAAAGTTCCAGATTTATTGTAGTTTTTTTCCCTCTTGAGTGTAGTTAGGTTATTCATTTCAAATATAGTTGCATTCATTTGTTAGTGTTTGCATTAAGTTTTAGGTGGCTTTGTCTCCATTCTTGTTGATTTAATTATATGCTTGAATATCTATAATGTTAACATGCTTCCAAAAGTCAAAATATTATACACAGCATAGTTCTCAGAGAGTTATTAGTCCCTTGCTTTCTAGCTTGTTCTCCCTATCCCTTGTAGGTAGCCCATTTTATTAACTTCTGGTTTCTCCTTCCTGTGCTGCTTTTTGTAAAATTAAGCATGTATGTGCATATATACGAATATGTATGTATTCCTATTTCCTCTTTGTTATAAAAAGTAGCATATTGTGTATACTTTTTTGTACTTTGCTTTATTTCACTTAACAGTATACCCTGGAAATCACTCCATAATTACTGTGTGTATCATTTTATTTACTGTGTTTCTTTCTCTATTTGGCTGTGTCTTCTTTATTAAGGGTCTGAAATCTTAGCCTATTTGCATGCCTGCCACACTTTCGTAGATGCTGGCAGAAAACACGCGATTCCTGGGTCAGAGACAAAGCAATTACTAACAGCATGAAAATTAGCACATGTTTCATGGTTATATAGGTTCCCCTTGACTGCGAAGTCCCACATGGTGATGCTTCATACCCTGTGGGTTTGTGTCATAGCTGAGGGACTCCAAGTTCAGGAATCCTTTAAGGAGCTGATAGAAAATTGGCCCAAACTTTGCCCAAGAAAAAGACATTATCTTTATCATCCTAGTTAGGTAAGAAGAATGCCTCCTGGTCCAAGGAGAGATTGTCTATCTTCCAAGACTATTTGCAGTACAAAACATCTTTGAAAAGATAGTTCTGAACAAAGGCTGATGGCTGATGTAAGACGTACAGAACCCTATGGAGAATTGTCTCTGAAGAGCTGCTATTATTATTATTACGAAATTTAGGACGATTTGTGTTTTTGTTCTAGTATGTATTTATATATATATATATATATATATATATATATTTTTTTTTTTTGGTGAGGAAGATCAGCCCTGAGCTAACATCCATGCCAATCCTCCTCTTTTTTTGCCGAGGAAGACTGGCCCTGGGCTAACATCCTGTGCCCATTTTCCTCTACTTTATATGGGATGCTGCCACAGCATGGCCTGACAAGTGGTGTATCGGTGCGAGCCG